GGTTAATCTCACTCTCAGTCTCTCTTGATCTCTTAGTCTCTCACTCCCACTCTCAGACTTATCTCTCACTCTCAGATCCGAGGCTTCCAAATAACAGCTGCGATGACTATGTGAGCCAACTAGAATCAAGAAATTTGAGCTCAGGGATCACATATGTGGGGTCTCTTGATTTGAAACAATTTAACCAATTAAACTACATTTCTCCCTATTATAAAAAAAATGAAGCTGAAGCTGTTGTCATAAAGAAACAACCATGAAGCTAATGGGAATCATGTTCAAGATTTTCACTGTATTGTGTTTTGTGTTCATAATTAAAGATTCATTCCAAGTTACCAAGTCATATTGTTGTTTATGTGCAACCATTGCTTAGTTGTTGTTTGGAAGAGAAGTTGTCGATTTATAAGAAAGTCAAGTCCTCTTGATTGAAATAACCCGAAATCAACCTGTAAAGTAGTCCGAAATCTTTAATTCAAATTCAATTCAAATCCGCCCGAATTAAACTTCGGCAATGTTCTGGTTGAGTTTTTCAACCCGAGGTAAGATTAGGGTTAGTTCAATCCCATTTCATACGTTTAAACTAGGTTCTCTTACTCATGTAATACGCCTATAGATTCATGCGTGAATAAAACTTTTATAGATTATGAAAAAATCACCTTAGGAATGAGTAATATCATTAACTTTTGGATCAGAGTATCTTGAAAGAGTAATCAAAGAAATGTAGATGGCCTGATCATGTTGGGGGGGGGGGTGTTGGTCATGGGTATGTGTGTGGAAGGAAAAAAAATATTTATTGAAACAATGATACCACTTTTGGCTCAAGCACTTTTGGGGCCTAAAGCGAGGATTTTAAAAGGGGAATCTTTTTGTTTTATTTTTTTTCAAATTCATGTTTACCCATCCCAATAAAAAATCTATTTATTATTTTTTTGGTGAATAATTTTAATATTTTCTAATTCTTTAAGATCTATCACTTGATCATTTCAGAACTTTCACCTAGTCTTTTGTTATATCTTTTTATTACTAGTATTAAATTTATTAAGGGGTCTTTTTGTAGGATTCAATTAGATTTTCCCTTTTTTTCTTTTTTTTTGTAAGTTTCTCGTATCTGAATTGTTGCATTTTAGTAACCAAAAATTTTTGACAATCCAATTTTTTTTATATAAATCAATCAAATTCTCTCTATAAGAAAAAAAAAACTTAATAAAAATCAAAATTATAAAACTTAATTTTATCACTAGTGTTCCTAAAACTTAGGATATTATAATTTGATTCTCCTTTAATATCACCTATCAAAGAAATAAAACAAAAAGAATAAGGGAATTGACCCTATATTTTTACAAAATAAAATTGAAAAAGAGAAAGTGTGAGTATCAATTAATATACTAGGGTTGATTCGATGACGTTGTTTGTGTGTGATTTAGAAAGATGGTCACAAGCAAAATGAGAGAGAGAATCCTTCGTTTGTGTTTTAGATGAAAAAACAATTTGAGAGAAAGAGGTTGATGTATTGACACGAATGTTTAATTGATGTGATTGACTCTTTTGACTGGTTAGAGAGAGTAATTAATGGTATGCCACAAACAAGTTTGGGCTTTTGGGCTCAATTTTTTGTTAGTTTAAATTATATAGGACCTTTTTGTTTAGACTTAATTTATGAGTTCAAATTTTTTGTCTCGATCATATTGAAGACTTATAAAAAAAATGGGGCCTTACTTTTATATGGGGCCTAAAGCGCCTACTTATTTGGCCGAGTTATTGGACTGGCCCCGCTTACTATTATCAACCAATAATGTGTAAATAAATATAAAAACGGACTTCACACAAACTAATAATTACATGTATATGTAAGTCAATAACTATCCACTTTTCTTACATGTAAGCCAATAATAACACATAATATGATATTACCGTTGTATTAAATATTTTTCTCGTGTGTGTGAGAGAGGGGGGGGGGGGTTGAGGCGAAAATTAAGAGAGCCAGTTACATAGGAGAGACACAACAAAGAAATAGAGTCATGGAAAGTTGGAAGTAATAACTGACCCATTGCATTAACCTGTTATTTTTTTGGTCGAAATTACTGGAGTAGTTTGGCAATAGATTCAAAAATAAGTTAATAGTTCTTATATGATGTGGATGTTTAAAGCTGAAATGAAGTTCATATTGGATTAGATTGTCTAGGATAATAATTAGGGGTGAGGAGAGTTGATGGCTTTGGGGGAGAGGAAGCTGGTTGTCAATATTGATAAGGAGGTGAAATTGTTTTCTTTCATTCGAAAGTGCAAGTCAAACAAACGCATTAGGACTCTTGGGTAAGATGTCAAACAGTGAGGTTAACTCAAAACTTGGGTTTTTGGAGGATTTGTTGACAAAGCACACCCATAAATATCTCCTAAAAAGCATCACAAACAGTATGAATTTTGGTAACAAAGCACCAATGGGAAGTTGCTGGAAGAAATTAAAGAAAGAAAGAATCTCTTTCGGAGTGTATCTCCTTCAATCACGCAAATGTTGTTGAACATGAAGGATTTGGTGGGAAGATAGCCGATTTTTTTGGGGGATTCTAGTGAAAGAGTTTTTGATGGAATTAAGAGCATTTACAAAGGAAAGCATAAGAAAGATCATTGAAGGCTTGAAACTGTCTCTAGACGCCAAGACAAGTCTCTTACAAGTAATTGATACCACATATTTATGTTGGGCATCAGTTGAACTAGCTAAAAATGGATGTATGGCCGTTAATGGAGCTAATGCCTAGGTCCACTTGAGGCAAAATTAGGACAGAAGAGTTGGTATATCTGAGTTTTGTTTTAAATAAAAATTGGGGCTTTGATTCTTGACTCCAATTGTAGGTATGTACAATTGATGGAGAATTCAAAATGTTTTTAATTAACATTTTTTTGTGTTACATTTTTAGTGCTACAAAGATGCCAAAATGGGATTCATTTTGGCATAACAAACAATAGAGAGTGAAGGTAAAATTATTTGTATAGATTTGAAATACTATGTTTTGCATTGCTCATTTAGTCAGTGTGTTTTTGGGAAAACTTTTATGAAAGAAAATCAAAAGGTTCACGTTTACTCACAGAATTCTGACTATTTGATATTGGAATTTTTTTTTAATGAAGTTTCTTTATCTTTATTCTACATGCTTTATTAATTTTGTATACCTAGGTTTGTGTGATTGGATCAAGAGTTTTAATTACTAATTTCAAAAAAAATTGTTATACTTTGAATGTTTAGGCATCCATTATGACTGCTATTAAACCTTTTGTTCATAGTCTTTTGAACCATCTGGTTGAGTGTCACTTCAGAAATAGCTAATGGCTTCGACTTGAAAAGCAAAATAAAAGACTTTTTGATAATACAATGTAATTTGTTAAAAACAATTCTGGAAAAATGAAGCAATTAGGTCAGTTTTAATTTTGTTTTATTTTATGTCAATGATGAGAAAAGGAAGGATGAATGGTATAGTAGGAAGGTCTATTTGCAGCTATTAGTTAAAGTTCTTGCGTTGTTTTATTGGGTTCCGGAGATTGCCATGGTGTACAAAGTTTTCCAATGGGTTATATTATAAAGACTCAACATTTTTGGCACTTAAAGTTAAGGTGTGATCGGTTAAATCAATGGGGTAGATTGATTTGACTTTCTCATAAAGGATTCACTATACTCAAAAGTGCAAGATAGAACTCAAAATGTTGTACTTAACCGATGAGTTGAATTTTAGTTTTTTTTTTATTGTGCGACAGGTTTGTATTTGAACCTCATTATAATATATATATTCTTTGGATCAATGAAATATTTTATCTTCTGAATTTTTGTTTGCATTGTATAGCACCTTCGTGTGCATAGGTAGTTGTTTACAATTTTTTTGTTTATATAGTGCTGTCAAACTCGAACAATTACTAATTAACAAATAATAGACTAATTTTTATGTAAGTTCAAGGAGAAATCTGTGTGTTCAAGTGATACTCTTGCTGTTTCATCTAGAGCCTAGTCTAGTGTAGTTTACAAACCTTTTAAAACACCAGATCTACATTCAAAACGTTTGAGTAAGAAACACTTCACCAGGGTGAAAACCAGCAGCATAAATTATATTTTGATCTCTCAAATATGACACTTTTCCACATTATCCGCTCAATTATTCTGTTTTGCATATTATACTTTCAATTATGTTTATCACATTGCACCCTCAATTATGTAATTTGTTTCACATCATCCTAGATATTAACGTACATTATAAATTTGACAAAAATTACTTTATTTTATCTCGTATATTACATAATTTTTCTCACATGTACGGTTGAGGCAATGTGAAATAATTAAAGGAATTGAGGGGACAACATGGAGTAAAGTGGAATTTAGTCCATAGTTCAGGGTGTCAAAGTGTAATTTTTCTAAACCAGAATAAATAACTACCAAAATTTTCAAGGAGCTGACAGGCAGAATCAGCAATCTTTCATTTCAGTCCAAGGATTGGAGGAAAAAAGATCAAATTTCTAACAAAGAACAATGGGAGAGACTCGGCAGACGCCACAGCTTACATTGCACCATCACATCACACATAAAACAAATTTTTCTTTAGAAATACAAAATAAACACACAAGTCTTAGTCCACAAGAAAATATAAATACTCTAATGGCATATGATGTGTAAATTAGACGCCAAGAAATTAAAAAAGAATCCGAGGGGTTGACCCTTAATTACGAATTAGTAATTCTATTTGGACAACATTGCATTTCCCAATAGTAATAATAAATACATTTTCTTAATGTTTATTGTTTATTTAAAGAAAATACTATGTAACTCAAATTTGCAACATAAATTTACATCCCAAATGAAAGGATCATTGGATGATTGCTTCCCACCAACTTTTTTAAATGAGATCCACTGATCCACTGATCTCTTTCATTTGGATTGTAAATTTAGATTACATAACATTGCTCAAACCAAAAACACACAAAATTAGATAATCAAAGTTGGCATGGAGGGTTCTTTGACACACTTACTTCTTGTCAAATTGTTTGCTGCTAATCAAATCTTTCAATGGTGTGACATTCTCCTCATGGTAATATAGTCGGAACACGTCTCCTTTCCTTTCGACTAAATCTGGAGTTTCTGGCAATTGACCAATATCAATTTCTTTAAACTTCCCATTGTGATCATACGAATAAACGGACATGAGAGATCGAATCCTTCCACCATTCAATAATATCTCACCGGTTGGAAGATTGCCTACTGGAAAAACATGTTCACCTCCGTCAGGTCCGTTCTGTGCATGTAATGGTGGGGCGAGCTGTAGTAACATAGGATAATTTGGTTGATAAGAATTCGAGTTATTCCACCATTTTACATGGTTGCATACTCCGTCTGGAACGTAGCTTTCATAGTTGGTCCATGACATTGACCTTAACTCTCCTTCACCCTGCTCCTCTAATACCCACAACTTCAACTTCAAATCATCAAACCCGTGCACCAAAGCCAATTTGCCTCCGAATTGCACCAAATCACCTTGTTTCGACGATGCCGGTGGCTGTGGAAGCTCTTGAAACTGTTCTTCTTTGAGATCGAATGCAATGAAATTGTGCATGTCATCCAAGTCCCAAGGCCGGCGATTTGGATTCATCCAATACAAAACCCCATTAACGCAAAAGCTTTGCGTCCATATAATTTTCCACTTGTCAATTCTTCTCCAAGAGGCGTCTTTGCCTAGGGTGATAATCTCGCACTTTGGAGTGTAATTTATTTTTGTTTTATGTCCATCGCCATAAGATTTAAGCAATTTGTACTCTTCAGCAATGGCGTCGAACCCGAAATAGTAATCCGGGTATGGGTCTTTGCTTTTATGGTTTGATGATGGAAGTTGCATAATTTCATGGGTGGAGATGTTGCAGAGAGAAGCACAGTGGCCGGAGTAGAAGCAGAAGAGGCCGTTAATGACTTGTGTGACACCGCCGTCCGGTATCGAGAGGGGTAAAGTCCAGTGGTGGAGTACTAATGCACGGGCGTCGAATTTGTCGCGGGATGGAATCCAGCGGTGGTGGAATGATTCCCCGAGGCAGGGAAGGGTGGCATAGAAGCAGAATAAGTGGTGGCTGTCGTGGTATGTGAGGAGGATGGTGGAGCGAGAACTGGAACGATCGCGGTAGGCGTTGGAAAAAGAAGGGCCGCCGATTGTTGTGCACCAGAGCTTTGACACACACTTTAATCGCAATAGAGACTTCGCCGGAAGACATGTGAGCACTTCGATCACCATGTCTAGAGGGAGCCTCGAAACTCCGCCAACGCCACGTCTTTTGGCATTGCCACCGCCAGCGCCACCTCTTGTTCTTGTGTTCTTCTTCTCCATGAGTTCTTCTTGTGCTTCTACGAGACTCTGTATCTGGTTTTATGAGCAATAGGATTTGGATTTATATTAAAATTTTGTATTAATCTAAACTGTTACAGTGAAATTGTATAATTAGATTAATAGATTAGGTCAATTTTTTAATTCCAATAGGATTACTCTTTAGATTTACAGTCGAGAGAGACACTCTCCATTCCTAGGCCCGTTTGGATAATGATACTCTTAATTGAGAATGAGATTGTCATTCTTAAATTCTAAATTATTATATTCTGATTATCAATTATTCACTAATATTACTCAAGAATAATGATTCATTACCCAATTCTCAATAATTGTGGGTATTTTAAATCTATGCCAAATAGAGGTAATCTCATATATAAATTGAGTGGATATTCTATAAAAAGAATAAAAATATAATAATGATGTTCCTTTTTAAAATTAATTGCATTTCAAAAATTAAGTTCTCCTTCTAAAATCAATTACTTTTTTAAAATTAAGTTATTTCTTAAAATAATTTGGCAATGATATTAATTTTCACGTTAAATTACTGACACAATAACTAAACACTAAATATAATATTATTATAATAATTAAAACTCAGATATCTCATTAGTAACAATGATAATGATGTACTCATTCTCCAATTAAAATTGAGTAATGCTATACTGATCAAATTTTGGGACCAAGGGATCCAAATGACAAGGCAATTGATTATTTGAAGTTTTTATTGGAGCTCAAATAACATGACATCAATCAAAAAACCCAAGTCAACTGTCATGTTATTTAAACTTTAAATTTAATCTTAAACTTTAGTTAATCTAACATTACTGATTAAAATTACTCCCATCAACTTTCTATCATGCAAAAGAGGGTGATCCTCCAATCATACCCAAAGGATTTCCTAATCGTTTTCTCTCTCTGCACCTTTTTTTGAGGTTTCCATGATGGGGTTGGATCGTGATTCTCATTCTGATTATGAGAAGTTTTTGGTGTATGTTTCCCAATCGGAATGGAAAAGACTTGAGCCTAGAATTAAGAGATCGAATGATTCCAACATTACTACTCCATGCCAAATGTTACAAGGAAAAAAAATGCATGTTGGATAATTACAATCCATCATTTTTTTGTTATTGTTTTTTTAATCATTCTCCCTTTCTCATTTTTATACAAGAAAAATTAGATAAAAAATATTAAATGTTATTGAATATTAATGAGAAAAGAGATGAATAGTTATAAGCGACACATGTCAAAATATGACTTAAAGAAACTATTGAAATCTAATTAATAATTGAAAATTCTATAGAATTAGAAATTAAAGAAGAAAGGTTCTCAAAGTCTCTCTCTAAGAAATTATTTATTTTATATATTATATAGATAGATTAGCGTGTTGTTGTCTTTTTTATCTTGATTAAAATATTTATTGTGATTGAAGTATTTAGTGAACTTAAAAAGTTTACTATAGTTAAAAAGTAAATATGATTAAAATATTTATTATAATTAAAAATAGATAGATTTATTGTAATGAAAATATTACTCTCTCCGTTCCTAAATATCTGTCGTTTAAGGTTTTTGCACAGGGATTAAAGAAGCTATTAAATAGCTGTAATATGAATAAAAAATAATTACACAAGACTAAAACACTCTTATTTAATACGTATTGGGAAGGAAAAGAATATAAAAGACACTTAGTCTCCACCTAATTTAATACATTGAAAAGTTAAGGGTAAATTTAGAAGAAAAAATATTAATTATATTTTAGTTTCATAAAACGATATATATTATGGAACAAAAAAAATTTGTGTAAAACGATATATATTTAAGAACGGAAAGAGTAATATATAAATTATAAAATAAACTATTAGATCTTAAAACACTATTGTAGGGAAATATAATAGAATGCATAGACACATGGTGCTAGTCCCTTAAATTCGTTGGCACGATTAAGACAAGGGGGTGGCTCGCGCCTCATGTTGCAGTCAAGATTACTTTGAAAATAATAATGTTATATTGACCAAATTTTATAATCAAATTTAGAGATCAAAATAACATGACAGTTAACATGAGGATGTCTTCCTCGTACTAGGGTGCCTAGCTAGCAACACTTATCCCCCCTATCCTCTGCATGCAAAAACATGGCATGATCCTAAGAAAGATTACCATGAGGAAGGCAAGACATGCAAAGTCTGAGACCCGAGAAATGTGGGACCAAGACACCAGCGGGACCAATCAAACTTACCAAATCCAGTTGCTTAGTTTAAGGCCTCCAAACCTCCAACAAAGTACACATTTCTAGTTCTCTTAATGATGTAAGAGGTGCCGAGAGAGAGTTGAATATTCTTCCATTACTATTCCCCAGACCAACCCAGGATTGGCAGTTTATAATAAATTAGTGACTTGGTATGAAATTAATATAAGGTTATTGTGACATGTCCAGATCATAATCGACTAGGACTAATAGGATTATGTTGGTAGCAACAACAGTGGCAATTCCTTGCCATCAAAGCCATGCCAAGATCAAGAAAACTACCAGCCAAGTAGTACGTTGGCACAGCCACCAAAAGTCCAANACTAATAGGATTATGTTGGTAGCAACAACAGTGGCAATTCCTTGCCATCAAAGCCATGCCAAGATCAAGAAAACTACCAGCCAAGTAGTACGTTGGCACAGCCACCAAAAGTCCAACCCATAAACTAGCAATTGGTTGTTGTCGGATGGAGATCTTCGTCGATGAGGGTAGGATCAGGCTCAAACCCATCAAATTGGGAACTAATTTGGGGTCGGCTTGGGNAACCCATAAACTAGCAATTGGTTGTTGTCGGATGGAGATCTTCGTCGATGAGGGTACGATCAGGCTCAAACCCATCAAATTGGGAACTAATTTGGGATCGGCTTGGGGCCATGAGTGAGACAGAGGGAAACCTTTTGTGGAGAGAAGGATGAGAGTTAATTTGTTGGTTGGAGAGAGAGAGGCGGTGAGGAGGAGGCTGGGTTTTAGGGTAGAGAAGATTGCTGAGGTCAGGGCATGGTGGGGATGAGGACAGAGTTGGAGGTTGAAACATTGGGACATCATGGCTCACAAAAAAGATTCAAATAGGTGTAGGTATAGAATTGATTGTATCGTACATCATTGACCAATACAGATCAGCCCTCAATTATTGTATAGTTTATAAAATATTCTATTAGATTATATCATAATTTTATATTTTCATTTTGTCTAGGAAATTTACATAGATCCAGTTTCTTTTCGAGTAAAAAATATGAACCCTAAATAAAGTTAATTGTGCCAATTAAGTTTTTGTTCCAACATTTTTGAATAACAAGAATATAAAGTGGTAATTGTCATTCGTTTTATAAAATAGTAAAACAAACTTTTAATCCTAAGAATTNCCCTCAATTATTGTATAGTTTATAAAATATTCTATTAGATTATATCATAATTTTAAATTTTCATTTTGTCTAGGAAATATTACATAGATCCAGTTTCTTTTCGAGTAAAATATATGAACCCTAAATAAAGTTAATTGTGCCAATTAAGTTTTTGTTCCAACATTTTTGAATAACAAGAATATAAACTNAAAATATGAACCCTAAATAAAGTTAATTGTGCCAATTAAGTTTTTGTTCCAACATTTTTGAATAACAAGAATATAAAGTGGTAATTGTCATTCGTTTTATAAAATAGTAAAACAAACTTTTAATCCTAAGAATTCCTTTCAATCTTTTCACATGATTCCAATAGTATTTTGATTTTTTTTATTTCTATTGCACAATTTTTTTATCCATGGAAGACTATGTAATGATTCATGAGGTTGAAATCATGATTCAATCCCAGTTCATATAGCTGAACCATGAATTTTCTTCGGAATGTTGTAAATTGATGTGTTCAAAACAATTGACCATTGCATTGTCTTTTTTTTTTCCAAACTATCGAAGTAGCTCCTTCGTGCTAGTGGCTTAGCTGCCTTAGTTTCCCTTCCTTATCGTATTGCTTTTTTTATTAGCAGTCTTCTTCTTTATGTCTCGAGTTTCTCTTTTTTTGTTAGTAGTTATCCTTGCTTCGGCCTTCTTTTTTTTAGTAGTTATCCTTGCTTCTGCCTTCGTCTTTCGACTTTAGGATTCACTCAATCTATTAAATAGGTATTCAGTGAGCGACTCTTTCCGCCTTTAGTTTAGGTTCATTACGGGAGTTGTTAGTTTCTTCTATTTATCAGTTAATTCGGTATCGTTTCTAAATTGCTCATATCATATTAAGGGTAGTCCTTCCCCCAAGTGCGCCTAAAACCTTGTGAAGATCCCTTTTGAAGCCGAGTTATTTTATTTCAGTTTTTTTGGAGGGGATAGGGGAAGGGGACTTGAACCATTGACTTCAAGAAGGTAAAACTTTTACAAAATAAGGAGTATTATTGGATCAAAGACCTATTAATTTCAAAGCCGAGTTAAACCATCAAGCTAGACCAAGAAGTCCATGCAAGAGACTCCTTTTAGTAACCGCCCTCAAAATCCTGAGATAAGTTCTTGAAGACATAGTTGGCTCCAAGCTTCCACCCTTCTCTGCTACTTTAAATGCAACTTCTACTTTAAATGCAAGTTCAAGAGGAACAATGGTCAAATTCAAGTAAGGCTTAATTATATTGGAGGTCCTCAAAGTATAAATTTGTCTCATTTTGATTTCTCAATACTTTACTTGCATCAATTTAGTCAATGAAGTATTAAATATGTTTTTATGTGGTTCTTTAAGCAGACAATATTCAAATTGTTAATAATTTGATCATAAATTTGTCACATGATATCTACATATGAACAAAAAATAATTTAAGTAACTCTTAATTAAAAATATGTAATATGGATAACTCTTGACCAAAATTGGGATAACTCATTATAAAAATTGTGTAATTTAGGTAGCTCTTATCTTAAAATTTGGGTAAAAATTTAGTCAAAAATTATTTAAATTATTTTTTTATCCATATTTAAGTATTACGTGATAAATTTATAATTAAAAATT